TGGGGTTTGTGACGATTTCTTTCTACTATCAATTCGCTAGTCGTACGAATGGTCCCTGTGCCTTATTTATCCCTCGCCCACAGTTTTGGCGAGGCCGTTCCGCTGTCCTTAGGCTCTTTGGAATCGAGTTACCCGTATGGTGGGCTTCCCCAAGGATACGATGGCTCAACTTGGTATCTTGCCAAAGCCCCTGCCAGCGCATTTCTTTGAATTCGTCCGCTAATTCGAATGGAGTGTGCCCGAATTACATTTCTCTTCGTCGGGGGGTACGAAGGAGCCTTACTATAATGTCAGGACCAGCATAGGTGCGATATCAGTATGGGTGAGGTAGATCAAGGATAATAAGACTACCGAACTATATATATAAGAAGGAGGCATAATATAATAGGGGATGCCTCCGCCAAGGCCCGCTAGCCATAGAACTGAGTGGTGTGTTAAGGGTACGCTCGTAATAATAGTAGTAGCTATAATAATAATAGCTAGCTATATTAGTAATAGCCAGCTATATCGAATTTATCGAATTTAAAAATTTCGTATTTTCTAATATTATATATTTTCTTATAGAATTAAGTATAGAGAGTAACTATAATATCGTAGTATTAACTATTAAGAATTAACTATAATTATAGATTATTTAAATAAGTAGTAGTAGTAGTAGTAGTTATAATAGCTATATTAGTTATATTAATTATAATAGCTATAATAATTATATTTTAAACTCTAGTTTTAATAGTTTAAAAAAAGTAAAAAGACTTTAATTCTATTCGAATATCGTATATAAGTTATAGCGTATATTTTATAATATAAGTTAATTTAAATATCTATTAATTAACTTATTATTAATAAAGAAATATTTAGTTAAAGATTTTTATAATATTTATAAAAAGTTAGCGAAAATATTAACTCTAACTCTACTTTGAAAAAATCTCTCTTAGAAAATATTATATAAATTAATATATTATCTAGATAACGCTTTATATAGAATATTTCATAAGATCTTAACATTTTACATTTTTATTATAAATTCTTATAATCTATAGAGTTATTATATTAATTTTAATAAATTAATATACTTAGAGAAAGATCCTCTAAAATCTTCTTAACCCTTCGAGGGCTCTTTAAGAGCTTCTATCGAAGAGGCTCTTCTCGTAAGCTTAATAATTTATATCTATCTTTACGAATACTTAATGAAATTTTATCTTCGCTATATTATTTAAAAGCGTATAATTAGCTCTATAGCTTTATATATTTATTTTATTATTATATTTTTAATAAAAGAAAAGAACTTAAAAAAGGTAGATTTGAGATTTGAAAATTTTTTTCCAGCTTTCTCTTTTAAACGTACTCGTATACACCCGCTTTTAGCTTAGAAATAAAGAAATAAAGTATATTTTAGCTTTAAAATTACGAAATCTAAAGACCTAATTAATTAACTTTAAATTTTTAATTATCGAATATCTTATAATCGAGAGTCGATAATAAAAGTCGTTATATACTCGAGAATTCTCCGAGTCTAACTATTAAAAAAGCCTTCTTTTTAATCTTTTTAGAAGATATAAGCGTAACTCTCTTATTATCTATTTAATACTTAATTACTAAATCTTTTCGCTCTATATACTATATTATACGATTCTAAATATAATAATTCTTTTCTTTAAAATTATCTCGTTTATCTAGCTTTCTAGAAGATTCTAGAATATACTTATTAATCTCTTATTACTCGATAGTCTTTTACTTCTTTTAAATAAACTTTACGAAGTTATTTATAACTAGTATATATAAAAGAATAAGTTAAAGCTAAGCTAAGAAATCTTAAATTAATATATATAGCTAATTATAAATTCGAGGTTATTACGTCTTCTAGCTAAATAGTCTTAGTTAGCCCGCTAGCTCTTTCGAGACTCTCTATTAAAAAATTAGATATACGTTATTTATAAATAGAATAAGTTTTTTATTTTCTATTAAAACTTAAAAATTTTTCTTTTTAATTATAAAGCGTAGTTTACGCTTCTTAATAATGAAAAAATTATAAAATTTAGTCTTATAAATATTTAAAGGCAAGGGTTTCAAATACCGTCTATTAAAAGTTCGCTTATTGAATTTACTAGATAGCCGACAGCCTTAATTGTTACGAGCGTACCCTTGACACACCCCTCAGCCCTATGGCTAGCGGGCCTTGGCGGAGGCATCCCCTATCATATCATGCCTCCTTCCCACCTACATAGTTCGGTAGCCTTATTATCCTTGATCTACCTCACCCATACTGGTATCGCACCTATGCTGGTCCTGACATTATAATAAGGCTCCTTCGTACACCCCCCGGCGAAGAGAACTGACGGGTCTTTTTCACTTTCTGCTCGGAGCAAGCGACCGAGCCTGATAAAGAAAACGCTGGGTATTTCTACCATACAGAAACCCTCACATACATCATTCGAAAGAACCTACATCAGATAACCTACATTATCAACAATAGCCTAATCCATCAAAAAACGAGTCCCCTACATCAAGAACAAGATATCCTTCTCCGCTCCGCATCACAAAATAACTCACTCAAATCTCAACCTACCCCCTGAGCGGAGTAACACCACTGGAAAGAGTCACACTCGAAGTATTTACGGTCTTTACGGCGATCTAATTGGTTAAGGAACGAGTGTTATAAACCCCCATAAAGAAATACGAGAGTTATAGCCAAACTCCAACACTTAACACGGAGATCTATTATCTTTCTCGACTCCTATACGCCTTTATAGTACCGGAGTATCAGAGATCTCTTTATTCCACCCGATAGAGATAATATTCGATATTTGCAGTAACACTCGACGGGGAAACCCAGTTAAAATTGCTATTTTTACGCCTATCTTCTCCGCTCCGTTCTTACCTATATTTAATATATTATAAGTTCCTCAAATTCTCACTCAAATCCACCTACATCAACACCAAAATACGTCCCTCCGCATACCTGTCTTCACAGGCACTAATTCAATACCATTTGATGACTGGAAAATGAGAATCCGAGACAAGCTTACCCACAATGGTGATCATTTCCCCACCGATGCTTTCAAAATTGCCTACGTTGTAGCGAGACTTGGAGGGGAAGCCAGTCAGCACGTGTCTACCAGACGACGATATCGCTCGTACTCTACAGTCGATGATCTTCTAGATCATTTATGCAACGTGTATGAGGTACCCTTATCCGTTCTTAAGGAAACCTATCAACATGCTTACGACAAAATAAGCCAAGGAAGTCAACCATTTCTCAAATTCTACGGTGATCTCATCAAATATACCGAATGTGATTTCAGGAATGATAGTCTTAACGATCTCAGGAATAACAGTCTGATAAACGACATACGGAAGAAATCGGAACTCCGTTTATGTGACTCAATTGGTCTATTGGCAAGGGATTGGACTGTGCCTCAGTTAAAGGAACGTATTATGAAAATGCAGCTTGAATATCAACAATCTGCTGAGGGATTCGCCGAAAAGAAGGCCAAAAGATTCGCGGAGCAATACGCAAAAGCAAAGGCCGAGGCTGACGCAAAGAAGGGTAAATACTCGATCATGACTCGCCCTACTTTCAATACAGAGGGTTTAAGTCTTGCTGAGGCAGAGGACCTTGCGGATGAGAATTGGGCTTATGCACAAAAGCATGGCAAATACTTCGAACCCGGTATGGATTTCGACGAAGCATACGAGCTTAGTTGCCAGGGCTTCCTATGAGCGACCCGGCAATACTTCGGACATCGTGTTTTTGAACGAATTGAAACCATCCGATGTTTTCAGAATGGCCTCAGTTTCTCACATTCGGAAATCGATTCCTCAGGCCCATGTTGCTCACCAATAGCCTCATGTCAGGCCCACCAAGCAGGCTCCCCTTGTTGTCATATGCCTAAAGGTCTTCCGGAGCCATGGCGCGTCACCTATGGACCTCAATGTCGCCGTCGGTAGCCTCCATTGGTATCGGTTATGTGGCATCCCATGGAGAAACTCACTTGATATTGGATTAGAGTTTTAGCGCCTGCGGCTCGGTTCGGTTCGGGAGGCCTCAACCAATCAAATTGCATCATTTCATCGGTTTCTTCTCCATCATAAATATGGAATCAGGTGGCCACCGCATGGCAAATCATTTTTCGGTCATTATCCATTCAATTCTTCATGGATCCTCGTCAAATTGGAAGCCCCTTGACGCTACAATAAAGTGCAAGACGACGCGCTAGCGGAATCTCCGGGACGCGATATTGCTATCGTCGCCGCCGCCGGAGAAAGGTACTAATTTGGCCTGGCATACTAACACCAAAAGTTCTTTGTTTTTATGGATTTTCAGCGAGCACAAAACATATGCATGCGATGGAATTATTCACTTCTTTCGAAGGCCTACGGCAGGCAGGCTGGACGGGAGAAGAACTTGGAGAATCTTGCCGATACGCAGGCAAGATGTGGCTACATCTCCGGGATCTCAATCATCTCCAGCCAAGGCCTACACCGACTACGGATGTGTGGAGATATAAGGCAAGCAATAGGCCTGCATCTCCGGTCTACCAGCCATGGGGGCCATAGCTATTAAGAGGGGGGGAGTAGTGTTACGAGCGTACCCTTGACACACCACTCAGCCCTATGGCTAGCGGGCCTTGGCGGAGGCATCCCCTATCATATCATGCCTCCTTCCCACCTACATAGTTCGGTAGCCTTATTATCCTCGTTCTACCTCACCCATACTAGTATCGCACCTATGCTGGTCCTGACATTAATTTAAAAAATAGATATATATTATTTAATTTTAGAATAACTTTTTTATTTTCTATTAAAATCTTTCGATTTTTTTAAAGAATTATAAATCGTAATTTAGATATTTTAATAATTTAAGAATTCTAAAATTTAGTCTTATAAGTATTTAAAGATAAAGAATTTAATATCGCTTATTAATAGCTCTAAAAAAAAACTGTTATGAATTTAATTTATAGATCTTTACTCGTTTATAGTATAATATAACTTAACTTAAAATTTAAGAATTCGCTATATATTCTCGATAGAATTAAGATTTAGCGAATTAATTAATTAATTATCGATGTAATTAAGTTTTATTTCGTCTTTAATATATATATAGTAATTTTTAAAACTTCGAGTACTATAACTTCTATTATAATTCTTTTAAAAGATTATTTCTTTTTCTTTAATCTTAAGTATTTCTTTTCTTTTTTTTACGATAGAAAGAATCTTATTAATCTATTATTCTTAACTCTTAAGTTATAAATTCCTCGAATCTCTACTTTTACTATTAAATATTTCTATTCTTAAACTTCTTATCTATTTCTTCGATATATATATATAGAATATTAGATTAAATTTAAAGTCTATTAAGATTATTACTTATATAGAAAACTAACTTATCGTAGTATATCTTCGCTTTTAAATATAATCTAGATATATTCTTTTATAAGAATTACGTATAATTTAATCTATATAATAAGAATTCTAATAAAATAATACTTATTAGATTAATAAATAATTATTTATTTCTACTTAAACTATTTATATCTCTTATATTAATAAAGTTAATTCTTCGTCTATTTCTTATTAATTTATTCTTTTTAATAAATCTAATACTTATAATAGCTAGTATTATTTATATATCTCTTAATAATATATATACGTAAGAGAAATTTAAATTCTAATAGAGAATATATTTAAGATAAATATATAATTTTTTTAGTAATAAGATTTCTTAGCTTTTTATACTAATTATATTTATCTTTTAAAGTCTTAATTATCTTTATAATAATATTTTAATTAATTTTTAAAGATTAATCCCTTCGTTTCTTATTAATATTACGAGCGTATTCTTAATATATTACTTAGTTCTATAGCTAGCGAGTTTTAACGAAGGCATTTTCTATTATATTATATCTTCTTTTCATCTATATAATTCGATAGTCTTATTATTCTCGTTCTATCTTATCTATATTAATATTATATTTATATTAATTCTAATAATTACTACGATAACGTAAGATCTTATAAATAGTATATTATATACGTCGTAAGATAATAATCTCTTATTAAATCTCGTTATTAATATATTTTAACTTTCTTATTTATTTTATACGCGTTCGCTTAAAGATAAGCTATTTTAAAGTTTTAACTAGATTTAATAAGAATATAGATATACTAATTCGTTTACGCTTAATTTTAGATATTACGATTAATAATAATTATAATATAAAGAAAATAAAAGAATCTCTTTAAAAATTACTACTGATTTTCACAGGGCTTAGCGGGGATCGGTGTGCAACGACTTTTGTCACCGACCCTCGGATTTCAGTCTTAAGTAATGAGAAAGCAAGCTTTCCAATGTTTGAGAAGAGCGAGATCGACTGTACCGTTTAGCGTTTAGCGTTGTTTACTCTAATCGAGCTTATTCCTTCATCGCTATCTAATTCGATTTATCTTCCTGCGGCTTCTTTTACGAACAGAACCGGCCACTCTTCGTTCCCCAAGAATCTGAACTGCTTGGTTTCATTGCTGTGAGTACAGGTTTGTGTAGAATAAGATATCACGATCCTTAGAGAAAGTGTCCGCAAAGCTGATTCTTGCCTTTAGTGACAGAAACCGTAGCACCGACAATACAATGAGTGGTCTAACACCTGCCCTCTCAAACGGCACAGCCATCCAGCCGAACGAACCGCAACTACCTTGACCCTATGACACCGTCAATTCCTTCGTTGCTCTGGCTCATCTGCAACCGGGATCATCGATCCTTGGCCTTGGTCGTGTTCTACTGTGACGACTGCGGTTGCAAGGAAGGTTCTTGGTACTAATCACGGACCGATGGTAGCGGTCTCTCAATCTCACGAGCTCGATCAAGACGCCCACCACTTTCTGCGATCCCTCGAGCTAGATGAGGAAATTACTTTGCTCCACGGCGATATCTGCCGTTTGAATGATTTAAGTGACGTTCTCTCTTCGGCAAACCGGGGCCAGCTCACTTTCGACGTCATCTTTGCTCGGAATGTTCTCGATCCCATCCCTGTTGACCTACGTGCGGCAACGCTTCTACATTGGGCAACCTACCTTACCCCAGGCAGCGGCCGCATAGTTGTCACGTTTTCGCCAGGAGCCGATACTTGGGTCGAAATTGCAGGGTTGCTGATCATCAATGGAAAAGGCAAAGCCCGGTTGGGTTTTCGATGTATGGATGAAACAGAATGGACGCGTGGAGAAGAAGCTTTCGGTGCTATTGCCTCTGCAGCAAATCTCTATCTTGCAGAAATGCAGCGAGTTGGTTTCGATGGATCAGATGCGTATGAGGAGTGGGAGGGTTGGGATCCCGTTCTCAAGGATTGTGTTCAGCTCCACTATCAAGAATTCTCCGAACGAAACGATTTGAAGCCAGCGTGGACAGATCAGGCCGGAGGATTCTCTCCTCTTTTTAAGGCGATGGTTCTCAAGTCGATGATGCCATTCTTGAAGTCTGATCTCATAGCGGCATTTGGCGGAGAGGATGAGGGATTCAAGTTGGATGTGCAGCCATGTGCGGTCACCTTTGCGGGCGTAATATCTTGATTAGGTGGCTGCAATCCGGGGGGGGGGTTATGGACTGCAGCAATCGCTTGCCAGGGAAGGAACCGTCAAGCTTATGCCTGGCCAGCGGTATTTAGCTTGCTACTTCTCCGAGATAGAAGAATCATCATCATTCCACTCGTTTATGACTTTCTATGCTCCTACCATAACTGTAAGGTCTTGTGTAGCCTATCGCGGAGTAGGGTTGACATCACAGAAATCAATGCAGAGAATTGAAGAGGTTGAGATCTGACCAAGCAGAAGCTTGGTCAAAGAAGCTTTTTAATAATACAAATACTCAAACTTTTCGGCCTCACGTTCTTTTCCCCCATGCTTCTCGACTATTGCTAGACCCCTTCAATCAATCACTGCCCCTTTGCCGGCTTCACACGCGGACTGATCCTCTCCTTCTCCAGTTCCGCCATCGGACTAGTCTCTCTTCTCCGGGCGAATTACATTTTCATACCCCAAACTATGGGATTCTTACAAATTCATACCCCATCTTACATTTTCATACCCCAATGGGGTATGAATTTGTAAGATACCATTAACAGGGGTATGATTTTGTAAGATACCATTAATAGGGGTATGATTTTGTAAGTTGCCATATAGGGCGGGTTGGTGTTAGAAATTATTCCTCCGGGGGCCCCTGCGGGGCCTCTTAGGGGTGTCTGCAGCGTGAAGTGCAAACACCCCTATTTAACCCTTTAGCGTTAACTCGGGTTACTAACAATTAGGGTAGGTAGCCTGGAACACCCTAAAATACCCTTCTAATGATTTACAGATATAGGGATGTTGGTGTTATCTTACATTTTCATACCCCAAGAAATGGTAACTTACAAATTCATACCCCAAAGACTGGCAACTTACAAATTCATACCCCATTTTTTTGGTGAGGGGTATGAAAATGTAAGATGGGGTATGAATTTGTAAGAATCCCATAGTTTGGGGTATGAATTTGTAATTTGCCCGCTACTTATATACCATGTGAAGCCACGCTAGTGCCATATTGTCATTGCCACCGTGAGGGGTAGCTACAATTCACTATGGTGCTGCAGCATGATTTCCAACAAATTGATTCTGCAGCAGAACTCTTATGACGGAAGATAATGACAGCTTGATTTTGCCGTTCCAAAACCGCATTTACCCTGAGTAGTCAGGGGAGCCCTTTTCACCAGAGCTCATACTTGAACTCTTCCTTACAACTTGGCACATCTTGCTCTATCACTAGGGCTAATTACTAATTCATACCCCGAAACTATGAATCCTTACCGAATCATACCCCTAGGGGTATGATTCAGTAATTTGCCATTACTTGGGGTATGATTCGGTAATTTGCCATTCATGATAAAAATCGCAAAGGAGAAAATTCGCGACCTGGGCCATCCGACCATAGAAAAGAGGAAATATCTCCGATCGTATTTAATGGGTGACCTAAAAGCCGAGTGGGTGGTAGCAGCAGCTCCCACGGGGGCCTTGCGACGGCCCTACGGCGGCCCTATTTAGGTTTAAATAGGGGTCTGGCTGTCAAGCGCCCCCGGGACCAGGCTTTTTTTGCGCTTGACAGCTAGACACCCCTATTTAGACCTAAATAGGGCCCCCGTAGGGCCGTCGCAGGGCCCCCGTGGGGGCTGCTGCTAACAGTGGGCTAAATTCAACCCCCCAGCCTGTCTACACCCAGTCTGTGACTCTTACACATAGTCTTCACTCTCAATAGTCTACACAGCAAGTTTGGTAAATTACCGAATCATACCCCAAGCAATTAATCCTTACCGAATCATACCCCAAATTTTGGTGTAGGGGTATGATTCAGTAATTAGGGGTATGATTCGGTAAGGATTCATAGTTTCGGGGTATGATTCGGTAATTAGCCCTCTATCACTATTACGAGTATGCATAACAGCAGGTACCCGTCTAATTGCATAACGCGGCACAACTAGCTGCACCAAACGACAACATTGATTGAATTCGCCCACCTTTACATCTCTTTCCTCACCACAACAACTCTCTCCAAGCAGCGACTCCTCATAACAAGCGTTGCCGTGACCTCGCTTCGACCAGTGTTTCTCTACCTTACATCACCTTGGGAAGCACAGCGCCTTGAGTTCTTATCATTTCATCATCTCAATCTCACAGCCTCACATTCTCATATCCTCAATTGGATTTGCCCCGACCTCACATTCTCATATCCTCAGTTGGATTTGCCCGACCTCAATAGCACTGTATGTGGAGCTCACTACAGCATGGCAAGAAACGTACTCTGTAACTCGCATGCTGACATCTTCGAATCTCAGGTTCATCATCTCGACAGCTATGTCTGAACTCAAGCAAGCCAAAAAGCAGACAGGCAACAAATCGTCAGTCTTGTGAAGCTCCAGCACTTTCTCTCACTACGAGACCGTCACTAATAATTATACTGCAGCACATCCAAAGGTCTTACCAGCGACAAGGACAACCGCTCTGCTAACTGTCAGCCGATGGCAAGCGGGGTGTACGTATTTGCGCATACTTTCCCAGTCCTTTATCAGCTGTTTCCCGAAATCCTCCAATGTCATGAGCTCCACTGACCATTCGCAACAGTGGGACTGTGGGTTAGTGGGTCCATTATGAGGCCATAGCGTTGGTGGCTGTTTGATCAGCCGTTCGTGTTGGTACCCTTGTTGGTACCCCTGTTGGTACCCCGGCAAGGGGTTGGGGACAGGTGTCCAGTACGAGCTATATAGCCACCTGTTTTGCACCTGTCAACGGCTCTTCATTCGATTTCGTCTCTGTCAGAGCCATATCATTTTTCTCCCACCCACCCACACCTGTATATAGCCTCATTTCACTCCAGGGCATGTCGCTCAGACATGGGAGTTTTTCTAGCGCTGGGGGGCCTTTTTCGGGCTATCTGCTCAGTCCAGATGTCCAAAAAGCTCTTAGCTGCCCCAGTGTTGGATATGCCCAAACACATATCTACATATCTACTTGTGCATGCGTCGTTTCTGTATGGCCTCACTGTTTGCGAGCACTAATCGCAACAGTGGGACTGTGGGTTAGTGGGTCCATTATGAGGCCATAGCGTTGGTGGCTGTTTGATCAGCCGTTCGTGTTGGTACCCTTGTTGGTACCCCTGTTGGTACCCCGGCAAGGGGTTGGGGACAGGTGTCCAGTACGAGCTATATAGCCACCTGTTTTGCACCTGTCAACGGCTCTTCATTCGATTTCGTCTCTGTCAGAGCCATATCATTTTTTCTTCTTCTTTTCGTAGTTGAGTCTATACACATTAGCCCTCAACTACCACAAGCACACTCCATACTCTTACATACTTCATAATGGCTCCCGCTGCTGCTACCAGGTCCAAAAAAAGCGGCCACACGAGTCACACCCGCCTCCAAGGTCACCAAAAAGACCTCCAACGCCGCCAACAAGGCCCCTAAGGCCCCCAAGGCCAAAAAAGGCCACTAAGGCCAAAACACCTCCCCTCCGCGACGAGATCGTCGTACCCGGAACGCCATCGAGGACCATTACTCCGGACGAGATCGACGAAACGCCCCCGCCTACTGGGGGGCCCAAGGTAGACCTTGCGGAATTGATAGCCCAGCTATCCAAGGTCCAAGAGGAGCGAAATCACCGCCATCGTCACGAGGGCCGGGTTCATAAGTCACGCCGCCACCACCACCGCCACAGCCGCAGCCATCGTCATCGTCACTCGGACACATCGGATTCGGACTCGTCCGACTCTGAGTCGGACTGGGAGGAAAGAAGAGGGATCCCATTTCGTCACTCGGAAGGTAAGAAGCCCTTTCTTAGTATTGCTGAAAGGTTCCGAAGTGTGGACGTCAAGTACTTCAAGCAAATCTTCTTCGGGACCTTCAAGACCAAAAACTTCGCCAAGCTGGCCCACATGCACACTACCCCGGCCAAAGAGGATAAGGACGTCAATGGCCATAACCACATGATGCACTGCTTCCTTGTGTACTCGGTAGCCGTCGGCCGCTTTGCCCACATGAGCGTGAAGGAAGACTTGAATGAGGCCCTTCATGCGTATGCTATTCGCCTACTACGGCTGCCCCTCACCTACAAATTTGACTCCATCCTCGCTTACCACCTCGCCTTTGTCACTGCACGCATTCAGGGTGGCCAAGACGATCCCAAGGCCTGGGAAGCGGACGATCAGAGCTGCAGGGACCTTCTCGTGCCCAGAGGGACTTATGCGGGCAATAGCAAGCCAAATGCCGGTGCGCCTGGCCCCAATAAGCCCGTTGCAGCCGGAGGACCTGCAATTTGCAGGAGTTTCAACAGAGGTAGCTGTTTTCGCGAGCGCTGCCCCTACTCACATGTCTGTTCGATCTGTCAGCAAAATCACTCGTCAGATAAGTGCCCCAAAGCCCATAACTCAGCGGTGAGTACCTCCAATCAATTGCCACTGGGTAATCGTGTTACCAGGCCAGAATGACTCCCAGGGCACCCGCAGGTGCCATGGTCGCTGCAGTGCATATCTGAGGGGTTCCCGTACGCGCTGTACGACCCACTGGACCCGGATTTGCCCTACCAAGGACCGTTAATAGTTGATGGTTGGTCCAAATGGTTGAACGATCACCCGGACCTGATATTTGCCAAGACCATTTCGGCTATTCTTCGGAAGGGCGCTAAGATAGGTTTTCGAGGCCCTATCCCAGCCCATCGCAATCAAAATCACCTATCAGCACGTCAAGCACCCCAAATACTATCGGCGGACCTCCAAAAACAGCTCCAGCAGCATCGCCTGACCGAGGTTGACCCTCAAAACGAGCCCCATTACGTCTGTTCGCCACTCGGATTGGTACCGAAACACGATGGAGGTTGGAGACGGATTCATGACCTCTCATTCCCACACGGCCACTCAGTTAATGACGGTATTCAGGCGGAGTGGGGCGCATTGGAATATACTACATACGATGACGCAGTAGTAGCACTGCTGCAGAAAGGCCCAAGGGCCCAATTCGTCAAAAGAGACCTCAAAGACGCCTTCAGACACATACCCGTCGCTATATCGGATCAATGGCTACTTGGTTTCAACTGCGATGGACGCTATTGGAAAGAACGATACCTACCGTTCGGACTACGCATGTCACCGTTCCTATTCGATCTCTTCGCAAAGGCCCTTACTTGGATCTTGATCGCCATCCTTCTATGGGAAGTAGTGCTCCACTACTTGGACGATTTCTTCGCAATCCTTTCACCAAGTGATGACGCAGCTGCATACGCGCAGCAGTTCGACCAGCTGTGTGGCGAATTGGGCCTTCGGATTAATCACACGAAGGATGTGGTGGGTTTCATAGCCGAGTTCCTGGGAATCGAATTCGATAGCATTCGCATGCAGGCGAGACTCCCCCCGGACAAGCTGGCCAAAGCGAGAACCACGGTCAAAAACCTCCTAAAAAGGGCAACTATCTCACATCAGGAGCTCGAGTCAGCGGTCGGCTTCCTCTCTTTCGCTGCCAAAGTCGTGATTCCAGGAAGAGCATTCTTGAGGCGACTTTTTGATGCCCTTCGAAGGCCTGCGGTGATCGTACGGATCACAGGCGACATGAGGGCAGACTTACTATGGTGGGACACCTTCCTGAAGCACTGGAATGGCGTCGCCTTGATACGCCACGTCGACAGTCGAGTCACGTGGCACATATGGACCGATGCGTCTGGAAAATTCGGTATGGGAGGTTACATTCTCGACCATCCCGACCACATCCAATCGGTTCAACTTAAAGACGTTTTCAGCATCAAAACAGCCACACGTCACCGTTCCAAAGACATACAATTCAAAGAAATGAAGGCCATCCATCACGCGATGGAACTGTGGCTACATCAGTTACGAGGATCTCGCTTGGTTCTCTACTGCGACAACGACGCATGCGTCAATGGATTACGCAAATCCTCTATGCACGGGCCAGCCATGGCCCCATTGCGCGATATAGCTATGCTGGCAGCTACTCATGACATCATAGTGGTGCCCACTTGGATATCTACGAAGGCTAACCAGCTGGCCGATGATCTGTCACGTTTTCGGTACCGAAAAATCGCTGACGCATATCCACAGCTGAAAGGTCTCATGTCTCCGCTGAAATAGGGCGGGACCCACCAGAATATTGGTACAATCAGACCGCACTACCCCGAGAGGCCGCACGACTTCTCTGGTGGGGGCTTGCTACCAAAACCAGGAAGACATATGCGACTCCAGTAAGATCCTACACGACCTATTGCGCACTTACAGGGATCCAACCTCCCTTCCCAGCAACTATGAATGCCCTCACGGGCTGGATTGCTGACCTGAGCACTCGCCGCGTCAAGTCGAAGTCTATGAAGGCATACCTTACCGGCCTCAGGTCAGCCCATGTGGACATGGGGTTCGATGATCTCTCAGTATTTCATCACCCTCAGTTACAACGCATCATTGCAGGTAGTCGACGTCTTCGTGGCGAAGCTGACACGAAGGAAAGGCGTCCAATCACCAAGGACCTATTGCTTCAAATCCTTCCTCATTTCGATAAGTCAACCCATGCCGGGGCGACTCTGTATGCCTCCTTTTGCCTCGCCTTCGCGGCATTCCTACGCGTAGGTGAGTTTACTTACAGCAAGCGAGACCTTCAACAGGAGGACTTCGGCGAATGGTTCCTCACACGTCGCTCGGTGAGGCTATTCGATGATCACCTGGAACTTACGCTTCCAGCATCCAAAACGGACCCATTTCGCCGTGGGATTACACTCACGGTGGCCGCATCAGGCGATGACGCATGCGCAGTCAAAGCCTTACGTCACCTCTTCAGGTGGGAGGCCCCACCTGATGCGCCGCTGTTCCAGCTGAGGGGCTCCTCCTTCACTAGGAACGCCGTCACCAGCAACCTCCGCGAGGTGCTGACGTCACTTGGTGTTGAGGGCCATTATTCAGGCCATTCCTTCCGCAGGGGGCTGCAACATCAGCACGTGACGCCGGCCTTAGCAATGACGAGATCCAATTGCTAGGCCGTTGGAAGTCAGATTCCTACCGCCTGTACATCGTCACTCACCCAGCCCACATACTCAGAGCATCACTACGGCACCAGCACCTTCCAGCCCGTCCGCGCTAGTGCTGCCGGTCCCTACTGCTTGCTGCGGTAGGTACCGTCAGGAGTCCTCCTCGAGACCTTCACCCTCTTGGACGACGTCTTGGGTTTGGGAGTTTTTCTAGCGCTGGGGGGCCTTTTTCGGGCTATCTGCTCAGTCCAGATGTCCAAAAAGCTCTTAGCTGCCCCAGTGTTGGATATGCCCAAACACATATCTACATATCTACTTGTGCATGCGTCGTTTCTGTATGGCCTCACTGTTTGCGAGCACTAACGTTCATATAGGGGAGCTCCTGCACCAGCGGGATGCGACCCACACGCCCCGTCACAGTAGTGAGTATGCCGAGAGCGCTTTCTTCGATGACTTGCCAGGGTCACTGCTGACATCGAGCCCAGTTCCCCCACCCGTCTCAACTCCTCCACCTATCAAAAGCATGAAGTCATCGACCTTGACCCTTCCCCTCCCAGTTCCCCAGCTCAGGAACCGAATTGCAGCATTAGTGGTGGGAGCTCGGCTGGAGCTGGAGCGTCTGCCAGTGACGAGTTGGAGTATGTGCACGCGATGGACAAGGGAGAAGAGGCTCGCATTCTTGTTGGTACAGTTCGCGCGGATCACGCGGTGTATGGGATGGCCTTTACAGTGAAAGGCAGACAACAGGTCCGTTATTACTGCCCTAAATTGAGATTGGCAGTCAAAAGGGAAGACATCACATGGTCAAAACACGCTATAAAATTCGGCAGACGGCTTGGGACGATCGGTCTACTCATCGAGACTCTCGACACAGAGACCGTGCTGTGTTTTATGGCGTTTCTCAAGCAGGACAAAGAAAAAGGTTTTTGCCTGTGCTGCCAGCTCCACCATCCCCATGACTGGGAAAGTCGGGATCCTCTCCAGTATGGCTCTCGGGGTAGATGACAGAGAGCGACTGTTTTGGCAGTACAGCTCCCGCTTTAGATAGTACACACGGAGTGCCCTTGCGGAAACGAGGACATCTCCAATTCAGATAGACAAAAAACCTTTTCTTTCAGACTTAATCCTTGGACGCTTCCTTATACCTTATATGTATCTCCTATGCTCCATCCTTATTATTAGTAATCGTAACAAATATACATCTTATTGCATCATGCGGTTTCAATTGCCGCATTAAACCATGCTTATTGACTGTCTGAATACACTTGCCTTCCGCGAATCTGATAACATTTTTCACCTCCCAACCTCTACATTTTCCTTTACCATATTCCACTTTCTCCTAATAACAGCTTCCAACAACAGGCATCATTATCGTCCCACTTCAATCAATCGCTCTCTACCTTGCATCATAATCATTACAGCAACATCTTGATACCTTTTCATCTTGCCATGTCCTCATCTCACAATCTCACATTTTCATATTCTTATACTCCTAGTTTGTCTTTCCTCAATCTTAATAGCACGGTATGTAGAGCTCATGACAGCATCGGGAGGAGCGTATTCTATAATTTACATGCTGATATCTCTCACTATCAGCTTCCGTCGTCTCGACAATCATGTCCGGGCTCAACAGACCCAAGAAGCCGACGGCCAAGAAACCGTCAGTCTTGCGAAGCTTCCTGCTTTCTCTAACTACAAGAGCGTCATTAACAATAATATTATAGCGAGATCGTAGATCTCATCAAAGATGAGGACAGCCCTTCACCTAGCAGTCAGCCGATGGTAAGTAGCGTATACGTACTGCGGATGCATTTTCCCACTACTCTCTCAGCCTTTCCCCGAGCTTCTCCAACTTTATAAGCTTGACTGACCATCGCTCACACAGGAAAGACCCCACATCAGCGGGATATAACCTACACAACACGTCACAGCGGTAAGTTTTGCGAGAGCACTTTCTCCAATAGCTAACAAGGTTCACTGCTGACGTTAAGCTTAGGATCCTTCGCAACGAACCTGCTGAGACCAGCCGTGGCGTGGCCGCCACCGACCAAACCCGGAAGGCCCCAAACTCCGCAGCTCAGCCCGCCGCAGAGGCACCGAGCAATGCAACGCCCCTCCCCCTCTTCCCAAGCTATAATCCCTTTCTTCCGCCGCACCGATTTGACGATGACGAATACGGACTGCATAGCTTTGAGTAGTCTCAGTAATTCAGACTCACGGCTAGCCGGGGTACCTATGGCCAGCCCTACACTCGTGCCTCGCTTCGGGGGCCAATCATATCGCAAGCTCATTACGGCATACCCCTCCCTTAGAGTCTGAGTAGGAAACCCCCGAATCGCTACATTGACCGTTAATTTGTGTGAGCCCACCGCAATAATTACCCCGTTATCGGGAAGTCGCGACTTCCTCCAATTTTTCAGCCATCACCACATAGTCTTTTAATATCAATTGAGGGGGCAATAGGCCTTTCGAGGTCGCTGAACAAGTACATAAACTTTTTATTATGATCGGATAGCTCGTTGTTGTCGCATAAGCTCATCCGGACACGCGTTCTCCGCTGACGGTTACAGCACCCACCTCCAGCCGGTCACCCTCCGATGATTAAATTCCAGACGATGGCGTATCGTGTTCAGCATCATTGAAAGGTCATATAACGAGTCGGGTGTAATGATTGGATCACAAGTTTGACCGTGTTAGTGTCTGATGGAAATCGAGCACCGGAGCCATCCCCCCTACATACACATCTATCAACTTAAAGGTGCATTACTTAGGAGTTGGAGGGAGCATAAAACACATACCTTGAATGATATTGACGCGCTTGACGCGTTCAAAATGGACTTGAGCGCACGAGGAGACTGTGAGGGGCGCTTAGGTACGCGATTTTCTCTCCGACGACGACAGCGAGGTATTTTCGAACTACATATACTGACCTCTTTATAGCTTACAGGAACATCCTTTCTCCTGACGAATACGAAGTTTTAAGATATTTGGCGGACCAGTTCTGGAGCAAAGAGAAAAAGTCATATATTTGGTTCCTCGCAGCCATGGAGATATCTCAGCTATTTCAGCCATTTGGGCTACCGCAGCCATGGAGAGGTCTCAACTATGCCACCTATTTGGGCTATCGCAGCCATGGAGAGGTCTCAACTATGCCACCTATTTGGGGTATCGCAGCCATGGAGAGGTCTCAACCATTCCACCTATTTGGGCTATCGCAGCCATGGAGAGGTCTCAACTATGCCACCTATTTGGGCTATCGCAGCCATGGAGAGGTCTCAACCATGCCACCTATTTGGGGTATCGCAGCCATGGAGAGGTCTTAACTATGCCACCTATTTGGGCTATCGCAGCCATGGAGAGGTCTCAACCATTCCACCTATTTGGGCTATCGCAGCCATGGAGAGGTCTCAACTATGCCACCTATTTGGGGTATCGCAGCCATGGAGAGGTCTTAACCATTCCACCTATTTGGGCTATCGCAGCCATGGAGAGGTCTCAACTATTCCACCTAATTGGGCTACCGCAGCCATGGAGATGTCTCGGTTATTTCAGCTAATCGGGCTACCGCAGCCATGCGTCTGTTGAGACGTACGGCGTTCTTGAGTACTGGTGTCGCTGCTATGGCTGAGTTAGCTGAGTTTTTTAGTGGAATGGAATTGGAAACCTACTTCTTAACCACTGCACCACAGCTCCTAATTTGACGAGGGCCTATTTGACTATTTATTCGACCTTTTTCAAGAATTCCAAAAAAGGCCATATCACGTAGTTGCGCATTTTTGTTGAGGATCATATGTACGCAGGGTGTGAATATTACATATCGGGCAATACACCAAAAAAATAAGTCTTGGCAGGGTTTCCTACTCAGACCCACCTCAAGGCCGATGGGGCCAAGCTGAGACTAAGCTTTGAGCGCGTGCGCCGCGATGAGGTCACTCCAAGCCCAAAGAGCTATCGGCCATCGCCGGGCTCCGCTCCACTCTCTCCACCGGCTTTCTTACGGAAACAACGCGCCGGGCACCAGCGGTCATCCAATATTGAGGACCGCCTCCAATGCCAAATCAATCCTGGAGAAGAGACAGGCAGCCGAGATGCGGGAAACGGAGGAGGAGGGTCGTATGATGAAGAGATCGATGAGACGAAAGACGTCGGAGCTGCTCAGGCAGGGGTTGCTAGGAGTGGCGGAGTGCGGCGCGCGTAGCGTACTCAAATACCGTCAACACCAAAGCAATGGGTTGTGGGAGCTCAGCTGGGGACGGAGTCGATAATGCAAAGGAGGTAGGCAATGGCAATGGCGGTGCGCATTGATGTCGAGGAAAAAATGCGAGATCCGGTGTTGCTACTAGGCAGGATGATATCTCCAAGCTGCAGACAGCAGCATTTTAGATAGGAACAAATGTATAATAGATAGGGTCTGCAAAGATTCTGAAGACCACATTTTGCCTACATGCGGCTAGATTTCGAGTCCACCCTAACGCTATTAAGTAACTATTAGGCCTCATACTATTTGCTTGGCTGCAGCTTCATGAGCGTTCTGAAGTCTTCAGAACACACATGAAGACTTCAAAGAAGCCAATTGACCAATAGTAGCCCCTGTAGAAGGACTAGCGTCGTTGCATTGCTGGGGGTGAGTCTTAGCTAAAAAACGTCAAAATAATCGAAGAAGTCAAAGTAGTCGCGATGTAATCTTCTTCTTACACCCTCTCGTCGCCTCTTTAGAAGCCTATCAAATCGGAAGTTAACTCGAATAGGCTAGCTGGAATCTTAATAATCTTTAATAATTCTTCAAAATCGTCTTCAGAATCTTCGCAGAACCTATCTAATACGGCTCCCAAATCAATCAGCCGGCGTTTTTGGTATGCCGTAATGAGCTTGCAATATGATTGGCCCCCGAGGCGAGGCACGAGTGTAGGGCTGGCCATAGGTACCCCGGCTAGCCGTGAGTCTGAATTACTGAGACTAGATTATCTCCTTGGGCGAATTACTAATTCATACCCCAAAAGTATGGATCCTTACCGAATGGGCGAATTACATTTTCATACCCCAAAACCTTGAATCCTTACAAATTCATACCCCTAATTACATTTTCATACCCCTCCACCAAATTTTGGGGTATGAAAATGTAATTTACCATTCCTTGGGGTATGAATATGTAATTCACTAAACTACGTCTTTAAGCACCCGGTATCTTAGCGCCCCTAAAGAAGCCCCGAGAGCCTTAAAAAGCCCCTAGAAAATTGAAGCCTAAATTTATCGCGGATTGGGGTGAGCTGGGATCTTCCGTTCGGGGCTCCCGAGGCCGGTCCGGGCTGATTCCGCAACCCCCGAGTTAATTCGCAACCCCCGAGCTGATTCGCGACACCCCGAGCTGATTCGCAACCCGAGCTGATTTCGTAACCCCTCAAGCGAATTCCGCAACTTCAAATACCGGGTGCCATTCGGGTGCATGCTTGATACCCTTAGGTACGAGTACTACTACATCGGGCGCCCTATTTTTGAAAACTATGGCAAATTACATTTTCATACCCCATGGAATGGCAAATTACCGATTCATACCCCATTGGGGTATGAAAATGTAATTAGGGGTATGAATTTGTAAGGATTCAAGGTTTTGGGGTATGAATTTGTAATTTACCCTTACCGAATCATACCCCTAATTACTGAATCATACCCCTACACCAAATTTCACTCAAATATGGGGTATGGTTCGGTAATTTGCTATCGCTTGGGGTATGATTTGACGAGAGTCTTAAATGATAGCTTTCTGATATAAGAGGGTTTAATGAAGTTAATTGTAGCGATAGGCTTACTGAGCGTCTGGTAGTAGTCGTCGACTTGATTATTGATGACGGTGGTATTGGCGGGGTTTGACCCCCGAAGCTTACCCCGCCTCGTTGCGCAGCGTAGTGCCTACGGGACCCGAATAGGGGTGTCTGCAGCGTGAAGTGCGGACACCCCCGGGCTCGAAACTTCGCCCACTCGGCTTTCGTCTGATGTTTTTAGGCTGATAGAATTCTCATCAAATGCGGTCGGAGAAACTCCCTTATTTCTATGATCGAATAAGCCAGATCGCGGATTATCTCCTTCGTAGTTTGAGGCCACTTTGACAACTTACCAAATCATACCCCAAGCAATAGCAAAATATGTGCTGGGGCGCGGGCTTCCCAGTAGTGAAAAGCTTGCCGAGTACTGGTTTTTGACTATGTTTAATTCTCAGGGAGACCCCCTAAAATCCCTCGGGCCCTTTGGGGGCTCTTTAAGGGCTCTCCGAGAGCTTGTATCGGAGGGGCTGTCAAAGCAAGCTCGAAATTTGATTATTTTAGTGATATTTGATTAATTTCGAGCTTGCTTTGACAGCCCCTCCGATACAAGCTCTCGGAGAGCCCTTAAAGAGCTCCGAAGGGCTTAAGAGATTTTAAGGAGTCTAACCCTGAGAATTGAGAGAGACGTTATGATATTTCACTGAGAATCGAGAGACACGTTCTAATTTATATTTGATAGAGACGTTATGATAAGACCCTTGGGGAAACCCCCTAAAACCCCCGGGGCTCTCCGAGGGCTCTCCGAGGGCTCCTGCCGGAGGGGCTCTTCTCGCAAGCTCGACAATTTGAATAAAAATCTTAGTTTTTGTATTTTTACGAATACTTTATTAAATTTCGTCTTCGCTACTTTATTTGAAAGCGTATAATTAACTCTATAACTCTATAAATTTACTTTATTATTATTTATTAGTAACGTTAAAGGAATTAAATAGAATAGATTAAAAAAGTTGATGTTCGAGGTTTTGCAGTCCTTATGGTGCTTCCTCTTTTGGATGTACCCTGTGTCCCGTTTAGAACGAAAATGAAGAAATAAGGTGTGTTTTAGACTAGAAATCGTGAAATCCGAGGATCTGATTGGTCACTAGCCTCTTAGCGTAGAAGCCATTTGGGATTTCAACTCTTGAGCATTGAGAAAGCAAGCTTTCCAATTATCGAATCATGTCTTATATTTGGGTGAAATTTGGTGTAGGGGTATGATTCGGTAAGGATTCGTACTTTCGGGGTATGATTCGGTAATTTGCCCCTTTTTGGGCTTTATAGGCGGGCTAATACCGAATCATACCCCGAAACTATAAATCCTTACCGAATCATACCCCTAATTACTGAATCATACCCCTACACCAAAATTTGGGGTATGATTCGGTAAGGATTAATTGCTTGGGGTATGATTCGGTAATTTACCAAACTTGCTGTGTAGACTATTGGGAGTGAAGACTGTGTGTGAGAGTCACAGACTGGGTGTAGACAGGCTGAGGGGCCAAATTTAGCCCACTGTTAGCAGCCCCCATGGGGCCCCTGCGACGGCCCTACGGGGGGCCCTATTTAGGTCTAAATAGGGGTGTCTAGCTGTCAAGCGCAGACACCCCCCGGGACCAGGCTTTTTTTGCGCTTGACAGCCAGACACCCCTATTTAGACCTAAATAGGGCCCCCGTAGGGCCGTCGCAGGGCCCCCGTGGGAGCTGCTGCTAACACCCACTCGGCTTTCGTCTGATATTTAAGCTGGTAGGTCACCCATTAAATACGGTCGGAGATATTTCCTCTTTTCTATGGTCGGATGGCCCAGGTCGCGAATTTTCTCCTTTGCGATTTTTATCATGAATGGCAAATTACCGAATCATACCCCAAGTAATGGCAAATTACTGAATCATACCCCTAGGGGTATGATTCAGTAATTAGGGGTATGATTCGGTAAGGATTCATAGTTTCGGGGTATGAATTAGTAATTAGCCCCTTTATAGGCCTACCAGTACGTAAATATTAAATAATCTCCTTTACTACCTCTTCTTCTTCTTCTTCTATCTCTTCTTCTACTACCTCTCTTCTGTTACGAGCGTACCCTTAACACACCACTCAGCCCTATGGCTAGCGGGCCTTGGCGGAGGCATCCCCTACTATATCATGCCTCCTTCCCACATACATAGTTCGGTAGCCTTATTATCCTAGTTCTACCTCACCCATACTGGTATCGCACCTATGCTGGTCCTGACATTATAATAAGGCTCCTTCGTACACCCCCCGGCGAAGAGAATTGACGGGTTTTTCACTTTCTGCTCGGAGCAAGCGACCGAGCCTGATAAAGAAAACGCTGGGTATTTCTACCATACAGAAACCCCACCACACATCCAAATCATCAGATACCTACATCATTCGAAAGAACCTACATCAAACAACCTACATCATCAACGGTAGCCCAATCCATCAAAAAACGACTCCCCTACATCGAATACAAGAAATCCTTCTCCGCTCCGTTCCCCGCAAAAAGTTTATCATCAATCAATAGACCCCCGGCGGACTTTCTACCATTCGAAAAGACACTACTCAGAGTACTCATAGTCTTTACGACGACTTGATCGGTCAAGAAACGAGTGTTGCAGACCCCCGCGAAGAAACAACACATTTCGACTCTCAATACAGAGATCTACCACCTTTCTCGACTCGCGCACGCCTTCACAGTACCGGAGTTCCAGAGATCTCCATTCCACTCGACAAGGAACTATTCGATATTGCAATAAACCTCCACGGGGAAGCCTAGCCAAAATCGCCATTTTTACGCCTATCTTCTCCACTTCATTCTTACCTACATTCAACACATCATGAGTTCCTCAAATTCTCACTCAAATCCACCTACATCAACACCAAAATACGTCCCTCCGCATCGCCGATCACCTACATACCATGGCCAGCCTTACCTCACATACGACGACCTACATAGAAGATACTCACCTCCAAATTCACCACGACTCCATATGCCACGTGTGCAGCGCTCTATATCTGCTGAGGATCTTTATCAGCGATTCACCAATCAAGAGGAGATACCAGGACAACAACAGGAGACGCAGGGCCAAAACTCGCCTGGGATCTCTGTTCCGCCCCCGTCCCCACCTCCACCCACTCCACGAGATTTCGAGGCACTCAGAGCAAACCGACATCGACCAATGTCACCACAGCCAGTCAGACAGCCACTCAGCCCAAGGCTACCAGATCCACCTGTCTTCACGGGCACTAATTCAATACCATTTGATGACTGGAAAATGAGAATCCGAGACAAGCTTACCCACAATGGTGATCATTTCCCCACCGATGCTTTCAAAATTGCCTACGTTATAGCGAGACTTGGAGGGGAAGCCAGTCAACACGTGTCTACCAGACGACGATATCGCTCGTACTCTACAGTCGATGATCTTCTAGATCATTTATGCAACGTGTATGAGGTACCCTTATCCGTTCTTAAGGAAACCTATCAACATGCTTACGACAAAATAAGCCAAGGAAGTCAACCATTTCTCAAATTCTACGGTGATCTCATCAAATATACCGAACATAATTTCAAGAATGATAGTCTCAGGAATGACAGTCTGATAAACGATATACGAAAGAAATCGGAACTCCGTTTATGTGACTCAATTGGTCTATTGGCAAGGGATTGGACTGTGTCTGAATTAAAGGAACGTATTATGAGAATGCAGCTTCAATATCAACAATCTGCTGAGGAGTTCGCCGAAAAGAAGGCCAAAAGATTCGCGGAGCAATACGCAAAAGCAAAGGCCGAGGCTGACGCAAAGAAGGGATACTCGATTATGACTCGCCCTACTTTCAATACACAGGGTTTAAGTCTTGCTGAGGCAGAGGACCTTGTAGATGAGAATTGGGCTTATGCACAAAAGCATGGTAAATACTTCGAACCCGGTATGGATGTCGATGAAGCATACGAGCTTAGTTGCCAGGGCTTCCTATGAGCGACTCGGTAATATCTCGGATATCGCGTTTTTAGTCGAATTGAAATCGTTCGATGTCTTCGCTATAGCCTTATTTTTTTATATTCGCGAATCGATTCCTCAGGCCCATGTTGCTCAACAATAACTTCATGTCAGGCCCACCAAGCAGGCTCCCCTTGTTGAAAGATACCCAAGCATCTTCCGAAGCCATGGTGCGTCACCTATGGGCCTCACTGTCCCCGTCGGTAGCCCCCATCGGTATCGGTTATGTGGCACCCCATGGAGAAACTCACACCAGAATCATTTGATATTGATTTAGAGTTTTAGCGCTTGCGGCTCGGTTCGGTTCGGGAGGCCTCAACCAATCAAATTGCATCATTTTATCGGTTTCTTCTCCATCATAAATATGGAATCAGGTGGCCACCGCATGGCAAATCATTTTTCGGTCATTATCCATTCAATTCTTCATGGATCCTCGTCAAATTGGAAGCCCCTTAACGCTATAATAAAGTGCTATCGACGACGCGCTAGCGGAATCTCCGGGACGCGATATCGCTATCGTTGTCGCCGCCGGAGAAAGGTACTAATTTAGCCTGGCATACTAACACCAAAAGTTCTTTGTTTTTATGGATTTTCAGCGAGCACAAAACATATGCATGCGATGGAATTATTCACTTCTTTCGAAGGCCTACGACAGGCAGGCTAGACGGGAATCATCTCCAGCCAAGGCCTACACCGACTACGGATGTGTGGAGATACAAGGCAAGCAATAGGCCTGCATCTCCGGTCTACCAGCCATGGGGGCCATGGCTATTGAGAGGGGGGGGGTAGTGTTACGAGCGTACCCTTGACACACCACTCAGCCCTATGGCTAGCGGGCCTTGGCGGAGGCATCCCCTACCATATCATGCCTCCTTCCCACATACATAGTTCGGTAGCCTTATTATCCTAGTTCTACCTCACCCATACTGGTATCGCACCTATGCTGGTCCTGACATCTTCCACCTCTTCCTCCCTCTTCCTCCTCTGAGTTCTATCACTATATCCTCGAGTTTCTGGACCCTATTACGTGTCGCTAGCGGTGTTTCTATTCGAGGATCGTGTGACAAAGGAGGTTAAGGCGAAGATCGACGCCTTCAGTTCCAGCATCTAAGCAAGGGTTTTCCACTTTTCTCGACCCAGCACGGGCTTGCACCTTTCGATCAAGCACGGGCTTTCTTCAATCCAAGCTTTCGAGGGCGAAGCAGATTTATTGACCGGGGTGAGCTGCGGAAGGAGGTGCTTGGAAGATGCTTATCTAAGCAACTTTAGAAGAACAATGCATCCATAGACTTAGCATCTTGTATTGGATGCTAGCCACATTGACCCTTGCTAGTCTTTAGATCTTTCACCGTGGGATCTTGGAGAGCTGAGCCGTGTTCTTGATGATGGTGGCCTTGTTGTCGCTTGATTCCTCCGCAACGTTCTCCGCAGTGATCTCCGTATTTGCCTGCTGCAGTGGTTCATCCTCTTGCTGAGTATCGCTGGTGTGAGATCGCAATTTTCTCCGTACTTGATGACGATGACTAAACATGTGCTGGGGCGCGGGCTTCCCAGTAGTGGAAAGCTTGCCGAGTACTGGTTTTTGACTATTTGATTCTCAGGGAGACCCTCTAAAACCCCTCAGGCCCTTCGGGGGCTCTTTAAAGTCTCTCCGAGAGCTTGTATCGGAGGGGCTATCAAAGCAAGATCGAAATTCGATTACCCCTGATTGCATAATCCTTAAGAAAAGAAAAAAAATTCCCTCATTTCTGGCACATCCCAAAATCAAAAATCAAAAATATTAATTTTTCTATATAGGTTCTCAACCACAATTAATTATGATCTGGAAAATTATCAAAATTTAATAAATAGAGTGTAGATTAGATTATAAAATCCTTGAAAGATTTAAATTATTCGTTATATTGTAAAATAGAATAATAGCGAATTTTACGAAGTTCTCTTAATAGCTTTAGAATAGCCGAGGTAAAAAAAAAAAAACCCCTTAGCATTTATTCAGATGATTTTTCAGCGCACTCTCGATAATATTAAATTAATATTTTATTATTTTACTTACGTTATATAAGTTAAATTTTTTAAATACTTTAATAATAAATACTTAAATATATAAAGTATATATTTTATAATTCTTAGACTATAATTAATTATGGTTATAAACCTATATAGAAAAATTGAAATTTTTGATTTTTGATTTTGAGGTGTGCTAGAACTATGGGAATTTTTCTTTCTTTCTTAAGAATTATGCAATTAGGGGTATTTTAGTATTATTTAATTAATTCGAGCTTGTTTTAATCGCCCCTTCGATAGAAGCTCTCGAAGAGCTCTTAAAGAGCTCAGAAGGGCTTAAGGGATTTTAATGGGTCTGATCTCTGAGAATCGAGAGAACTTTAATTAATTCTTAGGGTGAGTTAGAGAGAGACCTTCTAAAACCCTTCTTTCATTTAAGAGCTTCTATCGAAGAAGCCGATCTCGTAAACTCGATAACTCCGTAAGTAGAATTATATTTTCTACTTTTAATATATATTTCATTTTATAATATCGAATTTAATATATATAGTATTATTTTAAAGTACGTAATCTATTCTATAATTCTATAAACTTATTTTATTAATTTATAATACGTAATATTAAGGGAATTGAATAGAATAAATTAATAAAGTTAATATTCGAGATTTTATCTTATAATCTTTCTTAATTAAAATATATTCGTATTTAGCTATTAATTTTAACGGCTTATAGTTATTAGCTATAATATAACTAGAAGCTATAGTTATATCGCTACTTAGCGTATATATAAAATAATTAACTATAAATTATAAGTTAAAATCGAATGACTCGAAGGGATGAATCTCTAGTAATTTGATAAGCGACTTTTTATATTTATATTAGACCTATACTCACTTATATAAAGTTCTTTTCTTATATTCTATCTATTATACATATGAAATCTATTTATATAGTAGTTATATATAGTTCTAGCTCTAATTATATTAAGTATAGTCTATTAATTACTAATAAAAAGAAAGAAATAAGATAAGTTTTAGAGTATCAGATATCGATAGAAGTCTAAAACCCGAGGTTTACCCGGCTACTGAGAAAGCTAAGAATCTAATATATATATCAGTATATATAAAAGAATAAGGTAGGGCTGAGCTTGAAAACCTTGAATTTGTATGTGCAGCCAATCATCAATTCGGGTTCGCTACGCTCTTTGGTTAGATCGGCTGAGTCATCGCGGGTAAATAAATTAGCGTCCGCAACCATCAAAATCTCGCCCTCCCACGCCTCCCTCATCAAAAAAATAGGTGTACATTATTGACACATAGAATTACTTTTTTGTTTTCTATTAAAATTTTGAGATTTTTTGATTAAATTTTGAAGCGCTGTTTGTGCTTTCCGAATTTTTAAGAATTCTGAAATTTAGTCTTATAATTATTAAAGCGCAAGGAATTCAAATATCGCTCACCAAAGTTCGCTCACCAAAGATCGCTCATCAAAGATCGCTTACCTACTTACTCGATAGCCTTAATTAAAAAAATGATTATGAATTTAATTCAATGATAGGCCTTTACTCGTTACATTATAGTATTATTATAATAACGAGTAAAGGCCTATAAATTAAGTTTATAATTATTTTTTAATTAGAGCTATTAAGTAAATAGATAAGCGATCTTTAAGAAGTTATATTTAAATTTCTTACGTTTAAATAATTATAAGACTAAATTTAAAAATTCTTATTTTTTCTAATAGCTCATATCTCGTTCTATAATTTTAAAAAAAAATCTCAAAAATTTAATAGAAAATAAAAAAGTTACTCTATATGTTAATAACGTACACCTATTTTTTTAAATAGTTGCAAACGAACTTTGCTAAGCGATATTTGAATTCCTTGCGCTTTAATAATTATAAGACTTAATTTAGAAATTCTTTTTTATCTGAAAGTTCATATTTCGTTCTTATCCGGGTAGCCAAAAAGCCCGCACACCCTAACCCGCAAGTGGCTAGGAGAAGCGAGGCCATCCCGCATACATTTCACACACAAATTTAGTAGTCTTCTCTCATTATCAAGCACAATATCGTCGCTCGAAAGGCTTCAGGCTGTAATAGATGGTAACAGTCAAATGACTGGCTATTATGTAGAGAATCATTCAATAATATAGGTAATTCTACTGGGGGAAAGGCAGTAGTCTTCATTTGATTAGAATGTGCGTGCTTTTTTACTACCCGGGTGATTCTATAGTTAAAAAAAAATCTCAAAAAGTTAATAGAAAATAAGAAAATTATTCTATATGTTAATAACGTACATCTATATATTTTTTATTTATCCGCGATAAGTTAGTCGATCTAATTAAAGAGTATAGCGAACTCGAATTTATAATTAACTATATATATAAATTTAAGATTTTCAAGCTTAGCTTTATCTTATTCTTTTATATATATATTATAATAACAGATTAATATATTTACTATCTATTTCTACTAGTTATTAATATCGCTAAAGTATTTTAGCGATATAAGTCTAGATCTCGTATATAATAATCTTCTTAAATGTTATAAAAATAATCTATATTAACTTCGCCTTATTTTAATATCTTTAACAAGTAAAGGCCTATGAATTAAATTCATGAAGTTGGATTTTTCTAAGTTAAATCGAATTTTAGCCCTAGCCCTAAGTCAAATCGAACTATGCGTTTTTGACCTACTTCCACCCTCAAAATTGATTTAATCTATGTGGTATACAGGCATATATATGCGAAGAGAGGCGCGCTAAGGCCTAATTAGGAAGGTATATCGAGTGTGGAGAATTGATTCGTAATAATTGCCTATAAAAAACAGAGAAAGGCCATGTTCTTATGACAAGAAGTATCGAAATACCGGAAAGAAATGGAGACAACATGCCAATTAGTGGTGTAAATCCCACATTAACTCTTGCCGCAGTGAAATCTTTCGAATAATGAAATAGCTGTCAGAGCAAGACATCG